GTAAGGACACATTGTAGATCCGGCGTACAGGTTAATCTACAATGTGTCCTTTGCGTCTAGAAACATTCAATTTTGTAGCCAATAAATACGGTTTAAAAGTGCAAGTTGATAAATTGTACACTGTACAATCGTAAATTGTCGACCAATTAGCTAAGCGTTTTGATTCGCTTATATAAAATAGGACGTTGCCAGACGCGAAAAGCACATTGTAGATTAGGTTTTAAGACGCTGCGAAAAAGGTAAAATGTGTGTATCGTTGTTTGCCGTTTAGAAGCTTACAAGGGCCGCAAATTATGATTCTATATTAATTACTGAACTCTTAATTACTAAACAAATTAAAGTCGAGACGTATTTAAGTCCCAATATATTATTTTACTTATTATATTATATTGATCCACTTATCTTTTACTTTTGTAAGACCGTCTGCAAAAATATAGTTTAAAGAAATTAATCAATTAACCAGTCAATTATTCGGTGTATAAAAATTTAAATTGATTACATTGTGTACATGAAAAAGGATCGTGCAAACGTAACGCGGACGATACGCAAATAATTCGCGTGCAGTAAAATTTACCGCACAAATCCGCTTCGAGCCTCAACGAGGCAAAGTCGAGTGGACCGGTAAGCGTGCCGTTGTGTATTACGTCGAGTTGGTACAAAGGATTCGTCGTGCCTGTCAAATAAAGTCGGGAACAAAGTTAACGGCGCAGTCGGCGCAAAATTGCCATGGGGCATCGGCGTGCCTCCTTTTTTTTTTTTCGTCCGGAGAAAAATGTCTCGAGTCCCCTCGGCTTTCTAACTTTATCTAATACAAAACTACGACGGGGAACCGGTAAACCTGTTTGCGCCAACAACCTGCGTATAAACAATTGAAAATAGCCGGTTTTAAGGTGATTGTCAGCCAATATTTGGTTGTAGCACGGTGCAATGTTGCTACTAGGGAAGTCTCCTTTATGACAACAGCAATCCGTCCCCGAGGAAACGGGGGACTTGGCGAACTAACGTCGCGCGAATTTAACCGCTGGACCGAAATCGGACACGTCCGCACATAATCGAATCCTCATGCAAATATCTGCCAAATTATCTTCCGAATATCGCCGCGGAGAGGACGATTAATAGGATCGAAATTAAATTGCACCAAAGTAGATTCCAGTCGGGAATCTAATAACCGTCAGCCAATTCCGACTGCTAATTATTTTCCAATTAGCGCTACCGCGCCCCATTGTGAGAGCCACGGTCCTCGCGATCTATTATCGCGCCGACGATGTCAGATAGCGATTAACTCTCGTTGCGCCACCGCGCCGCAAAATCGATAAAGCCCGCGATCGGCGCACCTGGCGATAGCCCGGGATATCTCCGCCGTATTTTTTCCAGATAACAAAAAAGAAAACACATCCGAGCAGGCGTAAATAAATTGGCGTCGTCGAGCTCGGGCGGCGAACATCTGGTGTCTGCCTTCCTCTCGATCGCTTCCGCCCCGGCTCCCTCTCTTCCGCCGCTCGCGTGACCGGCTTCCCTTAACCGCAGGTTCCTTCCTCCTTCGCCGATCCGTCGCAAACCTGGCCGATCGTCCGCGTATTCCGCGCGCGCCTCGCTCGCACACAGGTCGTGCAAACCGTACCGCGGGCTTGTCGCGCGGACGCGCGCGTGCATTCGGGACGAAGCCGCGAATCCCCCGTGTTTGTACGTTAACATAATTAATCCTGGCAAACGCCTCGCGTCTATAGACGCGTCCGTCGACCTCTGACATCCTTCGCGCGCGGTTTCCGGCGGAGCCTCCGCACACTTATTTGCGCGCGCGAGGTCTCGCTAGGAACATCCTCGCCATCTCTCTCGTCGTATTTCAAGTATTGAACAGGTTTTTCGAACACGGCGTTCGTATGCATGCGGCTCTCCTGCTACCCCGTTGCGCAATTAGACTCACAATCAGTTAAAATGCACGTTTCGCCTGGGAGCTCGCACTAATTGTTCGTTTAAGGATTTGACGACTGTAATATCGAATTTACCGCTTATGATAATTATTGATTTATTCTATTAAAATTGCTCGGCGACGATTAACCGTCGCGCCGAAAGTTGAGGCGCTAATTAAAATCAAGAGGTGTAACTTGTGGCGACTGATAAAACACGGATAGCGCGTAAAGTGGCACCGTCGTCACGATTTTCACTCGGCGTAGCATCCTCCGGATAGTAGATTCCTATTATATCAGCGGTTAATGAATTTCTGTCCGTCTAAACGCCGTTGCGTACATAAAGGTATCTCTTACTTCTCGTGTAAACCTTTTTTTAATTTGTCACGCAGACATGTTACAGCTGAGATTCAGATTAAACGAGCTTATCTTAATTACATCGGTAGCGTAACAGTTGAGCTATAATTACAATATGACTTACAATTGCTTATAATTACTTATAATGAAAGCGATATTAGAGATCTTGAAAAAGCCGAGATTGTTCTTCGACACACGTAATCCCTATTTTGTCCCGATTAATTTACCGCACTTACATGTAATTAAGAGGTTACATCTTATTCGCTGCAATAAATAATATTAATTTGGCGGAGGATTTCGCGGAATTAACGGATCAGTCTATCTTCTTCTTGAAATCCTGACTGATTACCGCTCGCCAGCACCATTTTTTCAGCCCGTAAATTATCAGGATTAAACTCAGTATGTAAAATATCGCGACGTCCATGCTGTAATAATGGAACACGTTCATGTACCTGAAACGTTACGTTCAATTTACTTAATTTTCCCAAATTGTCATTTAATCGAGCGTATTATTTCACGAATATATCTAATAATGTAACTCAAGAGTTTACGACGAATTTTCTAACGTCTCGTCAAATGCTTGCTGGGAAACAGAAGAAACTTTCGATTGAATCTGCACGCGGAAAGACCGACTAAGGCAAGAATAACTGAAATAAAAATGTTGCCGTATAAATAGCAGGGGCTGCTACACAGTTGGAAAATTTGTGTTTCCTTGTTAAAAAAAATGCAGGTTAAAATTTTTGTGTTAAATGTTTAACACATTCATGTGTTAATTTAACGTACTGCTCTTGTGTTAATTGACCTCAAATATAAAATCGTTAAAACAAATGAATGTAAACGTTAAAACAACATAATATGTACGTATTTTTTAATCTGACACAATACATATGTTCTATGTTATTAATAACAGAATTTATCTGTTAAAATTTACAGAATGAAATGTGAATTTTATTTTATATAATATAAGCAAGAGTGATTTCGAACCGTTATTTGACTTATTACATCTGTCAAATGTAAAATTCACATTTTTTCAATTCATTTTGTCATTAAAAGTATGTTAATTTTACACAAAATTTATTTCAAATTATTTTGATATTTGCATTTATTTTTGGTTAAAATATTAACGGAGCATTAGTGCGATCATTTAACATATCCATATTACGTTAAATTAACACAACAATTTGTGTGGACCGTTTGGGACATGTGATAAATTTAACACAAATTTTTCAACTGTGTAACCATATCGGTCTCTCCGTGCAGTTAAAAAGAATTGACAGCTTTAAGATACTAGCGATGTGCGAACCATACGAATATGAATCGAGTCGAATCGGGTGACATCGAATAAAGTATATTTTACTAATTTTTTTATATGAAATATTGAAATATTTTTTACTTTAAAACGAATTTATATTATATAATCAATGTTACTCGTCCACATTATTCTCTCGTTATCTGTGCGTTGAGATACAATAACAATTATCATTAATAATTCAATGTAATAACAATTACAATGTTAATTAAAAATCATATTTCGATTCAAAAGCGTTCGATTCGCTTCGACTCGAGTGAAGTTTTATCGGCTCGAAGAAGAAAATAAAATTCGGTTCGACTCGACTCGGCGTAAAAAAAGTTCCTTGACTCGCACGTCTCTACGGCCGGTATTTATAGTCGAATCTTGTATTCCAGATCGTCTTGAATTTATCTAAAGATGCCGTCCGGGACATTTCATTGGCTACGGAGTGTCTGAAGATGATCCTGAGACAGTCTTGAATATATGATCTGACTATGAATACTGGCCCACGTTTCAATTACTAAATATTTTAAAATCCGAATGGGGAATCGTCGACGAGTCTTTCGAAGTTCGACTGATTTGTTTAAACGTTGCTACGCTCAAACGAGTGTGCGTGTTTGTCGCAAGATATTGGTGCAGCTTGCGACAACAATTACTCGAAAAAGAATATTACCTGATTGAGCTTTTCAAGTGATCGGCTCCGCCGTATTTGGCCACGTGTTCTACCCACCACGTGGCCAATTCTCTGGGACCGATCGGGAGGTCCCGCAGCAGCACGCTCCTCTTCTTAGCCGCCTCTCTGTACGAGTTATTGTGAAGCGCGGCGACTTTAATTATACCCTCGCGAAGCGCACTGATGGATATACCAGCCAGGTCCATTACCAAAGCGTAACCCAGTTTATCTGCGTCAAACGAATACACGAGAATGTAGCGAACAACCTTGCGTTAAACGGCCGATCGATCATCGTAAGTTCTCTTTGCTTTGCGTGCAAGTTTCATCTAATTGTAAGATCGCAGCCCCCATTTTCGAGAGAAAGAGAAAGAGAGAGAGACAGGCGCTCGAGTCGTTTTCTCCGTCGCGCAATTACCAGTTTAAATCAACGATCTGAATCCGCTCGGCTCTTCCCTTTCGAGGAGCGGAAGCTGCGCGAAAGCTTCGACGATCGTTGGCGATTATCGAGCTTGGCGGGGCCAAAGGCCGCGGGTACGCGTTTTCCATACACGGGAGAAAGGATTTACCAGCTTGCGCCGCGTTTCCATCGTGATCGCAGAAGACCGGTAGCACCAGGGTCGGCGCGCCGTGGTAAGCCGCCTCGTGCAGAGACAACAGGCCGCCGTGGGAAACAAAGGCACGTAACTTGGGATGGCCGAGCAGCTCCTGCTGCGGCCACCAGGCAGCCGTCCTCACGTTCGCCGGCAGATCCTTAATCTTACCGCCGTCCCACTTCCACACGACGTTGTACGGCAGCGTGGAGAATACCGCGACAAAGATCTGCCGCAGTGCCTCCGGCATTCCGGAAGCTCGTACCGACGATCCCATCGAGACAAACACGAAGCCTGCAAGAGTAACAACGTTGCGGCATTTGCGGGAGATGCTTGCTGCTTTTTTAATTCAATTGAATCGACGGAGAACGAAAAGGAAGACACCGATGCGAAATTACGCTCTTATACGAGACGTGAGAGAAACACCGTTAGGCTTGGACAATGCTTTACACCTGTCCGACGTCTTCGCGTTGAAAAGAGTCTGATAATGGTCGGATCTCCTCTGGGAAAAGAGAGACAGTTAGCAATCCATTTCGGGGCCCTCAATTAGTGATCGAATTATTTGTTCGTAACTCTACTCTGGACAAAATCTTGACCGGTTTTTTTGTTGTGGTTAAGCAACTTAACATTTCGGTTAGTGCCGCTTGATTGAAAATTATCTTCGCGTTGCTGAATATCGACAGGACTATTCGAAAGAATTGATTGATGTTACTTTAAAATCTTGGATACAGATAGAATAGCTAATTGCGATGTTTACACTGACAAAAATTTTTTTTTAACTAAATAGATTTACTTAAAATTATTTTTTTACTGAAGTAAATATTTATTCTATTTAAATAAAAATATCAAATTTTAAGTAAATTAATTTAAATCATTACATTTTCTACACTCAAATAAAGATTTCATGAGATATAGAATACTATTTATTGAATGAATGGTTTTTTTGAAATAAGAAATCCAATTTTCTTCGTAGTGAAAATTACATCTTGGTAAACATTTTATAGGATTAAAATAAAATGTTTCAATTAAAAATTATCTATTCTTTAATATTTAATAAATACTTAAATTAAAGCAATGCACGTTTTAATTAATTTATTATTTTCTAAGTTTAAGTTAATAAGCTATTAGGAGCCACCTAATGAATAATTTTCTTAAGTAAAGCAATATTTTTTGGATTAAGGTATCTTTTTATCAGTGTAGTTACACGGGGTAAAATTCGTAAAAGATTGGAGTTACGAACAATCCAAATAATTCGATCACCAATTGCGAGCCCGAAAACGGGTTGCTGTCCTTTTTTCCCCAGAGTGATCAAGTTCGTTACGGAACGAGCGTTTGTAACAAGACTCGATGAATTGAGAAACAAAATGACTTCAGCCGTGAGGAAAAGACGTGTTGGCTGCCTGTTTTCTTCATGGCTGAAATCAATTATATAAAGTGACAGAAAAAGGTTTAAATATCGACGTTTAAACTGCGAGACGAGAGTTCCCGGTCTCTCGGCGACAATTAGCGACTATTAAGAATTATGCGAATCTCGCGAGAGAGTGAGGTGCGAAATTATGAAATTACCGCGTCGCAGGAAGGATTCTAAGTCGGAACTTAATTGCATCGCCGGTCTGCAGTGAAGGCACGCCACGTTTACGACGTTCGACAAGTAGGGCACGGAATCGCCCACGCTATAATGACTGTTCTGCAAAGTCAGGGGAACCTCCGCCGTCAGGCTGTGCAGATCGTCGGGTATATGATTGCCTGTCAAAAGCAAAATACGGCACGACGGCCGTTTGGCCCACATGAGTGTCTAATCGTAAGTCAAAGATATACGGATATTAGCATACAATTGGCAGCATCGGTTGCGATTATATCGTGATTCGACGAATCGGCGACGTGCGTGGATTGATTTAGTGCTCACCGAGGTATCTCTGGAGCGTCGGCTGAAGGTAAATCGAAAGCGTGAACCAATGCATAATCTTTAGAGTGAGCAGCGCCGCCGCGTTCAGGACTCTCTGGAGAAAAGTCATGTCCTGTGTAGTCGCTTTACCGAAATACGGTGTCACCGACCACGGCGATGGATTGCCCTGTCGCATAATGGAGCCGCTGTACAGTGCCACCTGCGAGATAACATCGCGCCGTTTCTCATTGCTCGTTAGTGACGATGCGCAGCGAGTAACTTTAATGAAGTGCATGGAGTATCGGTTCTGGCAAAAGGGAACAAGTCGGCGGAGATCCGCTCCTTTCCAGCGTTATCGGCGAGGAACCGGTCGCCGCTACACCGCGGCCTCGTCTTATCATTGCGCGTCGTCGCGCCATTGAACGAATAAAGGTGGAAACGGGCGAAAATGGGTGCAAACTGGCCAACGCCGTTTTTCGCCTAGCGCTTTCCTAGGATCTCTCGGTACACCGAGAGACACGTGTTAGGCTCTTTGACGATGAGATCACTTCGCGCTTTGTCATATTAGTTACACACGAGTGAACAACATCTCAACCGTTTACTCTTCGTTTATACGCGGAAACGAATCGGGATACGACAAACAAGTATATTTTTTTTGCATTCCGGAATAACCACGGCGAACGTACAATTCCGTTCTTTCTTCACTGAGAAAAAAAATTTTTGATATTACTAAATATGTTGGGTTAACATTTTTTCTTTAATTCAAATGTATATGTCTTTTAATTAAACATACATAATTTATTCAAATATATATATTTGTTTTAATTAACAAATGTTTACGTAAATTAACAAATTACAAACTAAAGAGATATTATCATGTTTAAATTAACAAATGTTTGTTTGACAGCCCGTGACTGCAGCATGTAGTTGAATCAAGAAATATTTTCTTGACTCAACAGTTTCTTTTTCTCAGTGTTGTTTTGTCGCAGAAGAAAGGAGCTTTACGCCAATATTTTCTCGAGAGTTGGTTCGTTTCTCAAGGAACCACTTAAAGGTATTTTAGAATTTCGTATCCTAGAGGTTTATGCAATCGTTTATAAATATTCAATTATTCAGCGGGAAGTAGCTAATTATGCAAAAATAAGTTAGAAGTCTATCGAGAATATAAAAAAATAAGCGATTATAAGTGGGCCTGAGAATCGCGCGGACACGAGTGTAAGTGTGCGAAGCTTAGCGCGTCGATATATTTATTTTACAGCAATAAGATGTTAAAAATGATATCTCGGTTCCGCTTCGAGTCATCGTCAATAATGAAAATAAGTCAAATAAAAACTTTTCTTTATCTCACGTTTCCATGATAAGCATTTCGAGATTGTGTGGTCCGAAAGTCACTATCTCACGAAGCACAACTTGTGTGATTAAAATCACGTAACTGCCGGAACGTGAGAATCGGGAGAAACGGTGCTTAAAAAAAATCGTTAAGATAGAAAACATATTTATTACAATTAAAAGTGCGTTGTAAGAAGTGCCGGCGAATTATGCAGATATCGAAATATAATTATCCGACGATTTTCGGCTCACGTTTTGTTTCATTTTCTGAGCACGAATTGTTCACGTTCCAGTGATTGTATAATTTTTTTCAATCACACGAATTGTGCTACGTGAAATAGTGACTTTTCGGGCCGCGCAATTCCCGAGCGCTTATCGTGGAATCGCGGGACGTGAGATGAAGAAAAGTTTCGGTTCCATTGATCTTGGTGATTTGATTGATTTTTAATTAATTGATAGCAACACTTTTATCACTTGTCACGTCGCCGTGCCTGTGCGCGCGAAATCTCAGGCATGTCATTTGTGAAATATAATCGCGTGTTATTTAAAAGTTATTATATTATAGCTTCGACACTTTTGTATTAGAATTTTCGTCTTGAAATTTTCTAAAGTATCTGTGATCAAAAGGATATCCGGTGGTTTTAGTACACCCTGTATGTTATAGGTCCTCAAAATTTTTAAATAAATTTGCACAGTAAAAACAAATATCGAACAAGTGCCAAAGCCACCCAGGTATATATCATTTCAACTGAAATATCAAGGAGACTCTAAGAAAACACTTTAATAAAAGACAAGTGCAAAGTTTACTCCTACTTTAAAACTGATAGTGTCGGGAATTTCTACTTTTGCCAATTGAGCATTAAAGTAGGTCCTTTAAAGTAGGAGCTAAAGTAAACTTTTAGAATTAAAGATTCAAGGGGGGAGTAAAAATATAATGTCATCAAAGTAGGCTACTGCTCGTCT